TACCAGTCTTGAAGATGCAAATTTAGGACTATTATATGTTTTTAGTAGCTTTGGCTGTGTATGGGGGAATCACAGAGCCTTAAATATGTATAGTTGAGTCAATCCTCACTTTAAACTTTAGGTTGAACACTGATGAGTATCATGGAAAGGTTTTCAATCTCCCAATTCCTGTTCTACAATTCAATTAATGATTCCTCTGTAACTTAGATCTGCTCAGCTATAAATGGACACACTATTTCTTTTTTCTGGGCGTATTAATCAATAATCATAAATTACTATCTTACATAAATTAGATGCTACATGCTGGTTATCAGTCGAAGCTTTACTAGGAGTCAATTGCAGAATTAATAGAAATAATTGCTGCATCAGTAACTAAATAAATTTGCATCTGCAGGTGGCATTCAGGACAAAGGTCTTCCACCCAAATATTAACAGCAATGGAAGCATTTGCCTCGACATCTTGAAGGAGCAATGGAGCCCAGCATTAACCATTTCCAAGGTCATTACAGTTCATATCCTTCACACTCATTTCCTCAATTGAATGGACTAGCATTTGAAGATTATTGGAATAGTATCTTTGTGGATAAGACTGGAATTGTTTTGGGATCTAAGATATTAACAGAACTTGAATCAAAACCAAAGCCTTGTCCATTTGCTACCTCCGTAGGGCTTTTCCTTTTAAACCTGGTCAGTGTTACTAGATCACTCATTAGGCAGTATGAGGTGTTTATTCGTGAGTAAGGTGGATAACTTGTCTATTTTCGAATTCCCTAGACTTGGCTGATCAATTGATGAATTTATATAATCAAGAAAAAAGAAGTAAAACAAGTGTATTTGCGCTTTATTTACTTGTAAAAGGAATTGAACTACATAACCATTACTTGTAAAAGGAATTGAACTACATAACCATGTTCTGTAACCTTCTCAAGTTCAAGCATCACCAATCAAAGATTCTTTTTTTATACTTACAGGTGCTTCTGTCAATATGTTCTTTGTTGACGGATCCCAACCCAGACGATCCTTTGGTTCCAGAGATTGCTCATATGTACAAGACTGACAGGAGCAAGTATGAAACTACTGCAAGGAGCTGGACCCAGAAGTACGCAATGGGCTAGCAGTTTACGGGCGAGAAGGTTGTTTCGGGCTACTTTCCTTGGCTTTGTTTGTTAAATTTGGTTACTTCTGTCTTATATCTGTTAACGACGAAATTATCTCCGGTTGTCTCTTTTTTTAAGTCCTTGAGGGGGAAACCCCAACCTGCTGTAGAAAAACAATTTGAACCGAAGAATCATATTATTGGATTTGATTGTTGGCATGGGCAAAGGGTATTTGATTTACTCACCCCCTTTTCAGAGCACAATTCATATTAATCAGTTGTTAATATTATCATCTGTACTAACGTCTTGTCTGTGTTGGTTGGCAAAGTTATGACAAGTTATTACTTTATTTAAATCTCTTGATAATGTCGTTGTTAATATTAGCAGTTACCACGTGCAGTTAACAAGTGCTTTGGCTAAAAATCGTATTCGTACATTAGACCTCGATGGCGTTATCGTTTATATTTATTTAGGCTCATCTAGAGATCCGTGGAACGCACCTCCACTGCGAAAAATCTTGATGGGCTTTTGTTTTGATCTTCTTTCAACGCCATCTGCATTTACACATAAAGGACCTGCATGGAAATTTAATACGTTGGATTTAATACCCTCGCCATAAAAAGAGGCTGGCGGTGAGATGATGCTTATTGTTTTTTAACAGGAAATTTACTGTTTTATCTCATCATTTGAACGAAGCACGGACATATTTTACTATTCTCACTCGTTCTCTTCAGACGCTTTGGTACGAACGTGTAAATAATCCCGTTAGAAAAGCGATGGGTAATAAAACAAACAAGGAGGGTCCAACTGAGGAGTACGGGTTTACCGAGGAGCTGATTACTGAAGGTGAAGTTAGAAATTGAGAGGGGTGGGGTTGATGAATGGAGGAACTGAAATCGCGGCGGGGGCCAGTCACGTGAGGCCACGCTTTCCTCCAGAACTCAGCCGCCCACCTCACATAGTTTTTCTTTTTTTAATTCCGAGAGGGAAGAGGGCGGATGCACGCGCGTCGCCCACCCATAGACGCTGCCAAAAGTCCGCAGTCTAACTAATTGGGCTGCGTGATGCTCGGAGTTGGCCCGAATCCGCATGTATTTACCGTGCGTTTATTGTGCGAGGGGGTTGCTTTTAACCTAAAATATCTTAGTTAACTCTGATACTGGGAAGGATAAGAGGCTATATATTGAGGTTTGGATTCGCATTGATCCGAGATGAAGAAGAAGAGGGGCATATATAAATTATTTAACCATTTGTCAATGATATATGAATTACTCCTTTCCGTAGAGTGTTCTTTATAGAATTCCAATTCATTAAGTTCTAACTTCTAAAATTCCAATGTATTCAGCTTGAAATTAGATATGCATAATAATTTTCAGTACTTTTGGACAACGGAAAGTTCTACATATTTTTGGGTCTATTTCTAATCGCAAACAACGAGATATCTCAACATGAAGTTATAAACTGCCAAAATCCTACCCGGCTCCTACTATTGACCGTAAGCTTTTTCTATCAGATTTTTTTCATCATTGAAAATAGATCTCGTATTATCTTGACAATATGTTTTGGACTTATAACTTTTTTTTATTATCATAAATTGTG